TCTTACCATTTACAAGAAGTATCATGGAATTTTTAATTTGTACCTAGCAGAGTGAGTGATCATGCCTCTCAGCATAGCACTATTCCCTATTTTTAAACTGCAATTTCAGCCCTGGCTGTGAGCCCAAGTCATGGTGTGGGATCCATAATCTACTGACTCTGATGTGTGAGAGCTATCCCTGAGCCATGCTGAGAGTGATGGGGTGCTTCTGCTAGAGGGCCACTAATGTTACCCTATTATGCATGAGAGATACTCTGGGGGAAGAAGAGAAACACAGTAAATTAAATTGTAAAATCAGAGTAGAACTGCTAGAAGACTTGTCATGGCTTTTTCTTACCCAAAAGATCAGCTTCTTATGTCTATTCAGTATTAATATTGATATTTGTATACTAAAAAACAGTGCTTGCCTTTGCCGTGTTGCCTTCTGCAATCATTCCCAGCATACTCTGCTGCTACTTTCTTGATTCCTGTCTAAAAGCAGATTGTATGCTTCCACAGCAGTGCAGTAATTTTTATACAGTGGTGATTCTTCGCATAGTTTGGGTTCTGTAAAATAACTTGTTGATTTCATTGTCAAAAATTAACTGCTTTTTTACTCATCACTGTAGACTCAATGCAGCTAAGAGGAAATGAGGTGAATTCTCTTTAATATATATCATAAGTGGAATTGTCTGCTGTTCACTTTATACCTGTGCAGCGCCACTGAAGGCAGATGTGGTTGCACAGGACCGGATTTTGCCTACACAACCTTTTACAGGCTATGATGCACAAGGAGGAAAGAATCTGGCTTGATTCAGAACCCAGATGTAGTTTGCAGGGTTGGGAATTAGTTTTCTGAGCTCAATATAAAGAGAATTGAGAGACAAAAGTGGAATCCCAATAAGCCCTTTTCGTTAATTTTCAGAGTAGAATTACACTTTAAATACCTTCCCCTCTTCTCACTGGATTCTAAAAGGGTACTGGTACATGGGGCAAATTCCAGAAGAATGCCAGATGGCAATTGAGGAAGGGTGTATTAAACACAGAACCAACCTTTTAGCTGCTGCCAGAGAGGATAGATTGGTTATCACAAAGCTGTAGTTTAGGAAACTGTTTGCTACATTCATGTAGTTGGTATCCTATTCTTAGCTCAAAAATCATGCCTGTGTATACAATTGTAGTTCATTGTATATAAATGACCTTTTCCCTTTCCGAGTAGATTAATTTGTGTTTGGCTAAGCAAACACTATTAGGTTGAGATCTACTTTTGCCCTTCAGTTTATTTTAGGTAAATATTAACATTAAGTTGCACAGTAAGTATGAGACCATCTTGTCTTAATTGTTTTTGTGCGTGGTCAGTAATGCTTTTACACTCCGTGTATATTAACAGAAGAGTTCAAATATATACTTGTTTTCTGAATTGTAGAATGAAAACTCTGGCAGAGACTTGTCACCATCTTTGTCGATGCCTGAATCAAGCCTTAAGATACTCATGGGCTTCTGTAACCACCAACCTAAGGTGCAACTGAGGCAGAACAAAATGAGAAATGCATAGATCTTTAAATTCTAAAGTACTTTTTTTACGGATTTATTTCTTGGAGGCAACTATAGAATTAAAGTTCAAAAACCTACATCTAGAGGCCCACATTCTAATGTTATGATACTGCAAATTAATAATTGTGGTGTAAATCATCCATGGACCTGTCCACTCTAAGTCTCACTTGAACGGAGTTACTCTAAATGTACAACTGTGTAATGCAGATCAGAATCTGGCCAGTATGTTGTGTTTGTCTGTAGAGAGCAAAAATCACAGGCAAACAAACTACTTATTTCCAGATTTAGCCAATACGTACAGTAGTAATGGTAAAATAACAATGGAAGCAAATGCTATGTGACTTGCCTGAGGATGGTAAGGGAGAAGAGGACAGAGCTAATGTGTGAAGGATTGTTTTTAATTTTCAGGAAGTTTAAATTTAAGATGGAAAATACATTAAGCTACTTGAGTCCCCTTTATTGCAGAGTTCAGGCTGTGAGAAACATTATGCATTTTTCATTAGCATTAATATAGGAACTTGAATTTTATAGTGCCAGGAGGCTACATTATTAAAAGGGGGGTGGGGTTGGGATAAAAACTTTTGCCAGGAAAACAGAAGTCTCATTTTATGTCATAAATTTTGTGCAATATGACTTAAAAACAGACACACCCCTTGAGAAGTGACTAATCAATCAGTGTCTTGGGTTAGCTTTGGTGGGAGAAAGGGAAGTGACATGATGGAGAGAATTAATGTACTGTACATGCCCAGTAGCTTATTTAAAACTTTAAAAGTGTGACCTTTTAAACAATTTATCAGTTTGTGGCTTGATACAAGCAACTTTATTTAAATATATTCCGTGATCTTTTTCATGTTTGCTTTCACAAGCTTCTGGTGGGTGAGAGATGTTAATGCACTATTTCACACAATACTGTACCAGAAGAGACTACATAAAAGCCAGAAACTATTTTAGCCTTCAAATCATCTGGCTTATTTCAAATACACAAGTAATCCACCTTGTCCACTTACATAATTGTCATTTTGGCCCATATCATTAAGGAGGTAGGAGAGAGCACATTTTATGGATGTCATAACAAAGCTGCTAGGGCATACACTGGAAGATGTCTGCTGAACACATGTCTGTCTGTTTCTAGGTGCGGTCACTGTAAGAACTTGGCTCCAACTTGGGAGAACCTCTCCAAAGAACAATTTCCAGGTTTGACAGATGTCAAAATAGCAAAAGTAGATTGCACCATCGAACGTAATGTCTGCAACAGATTTTCTGTAAGTGTGGATGGTTTAAAATTAATTAGATAATCTTAAATAATTTGTACCCCAGGTTGAAGTCTCCAGTAATTTGCCCAGGTGGCAGTTCACTGTAGAGTGCAGTGATCTTGTCACTGCACTCACTTCAGAAGTTACTCTTCTCATGAAGGGGGGAAAACAGAGGGATGGTTACCTGGTGGTTAGGAATGTCCCTGTGCTAGTGAATATTTAAATATCTTATATAAAGTGGAACAGCTTCAACAAGAGACCCACTGCAATGGTTAGGGCACTCACCTGGGGATGGAGATAGCAGAGCAGGGATTTGAATGCCTTAGTATGTTCAGTTCTTTTTTTTAGGTACCCAACTCTCCGCAGCAATTTACAGGGAGCCTGGGTGCCTAACACAGGGCCGTTCATCCCACTTGGTGGCAGAGGGCCTAAAGTTAAGCACTGCTAAGCATACTGTTTGGGGTTTGGCCCCTAGTCTTTAGGGTGGCTGCTGGTGTTGTAAGGATGCTACTGAAGATACATGATTTTGTTTTTTGTTCCCCCTCTTAAAGGTGAATGGTTATCCAACACTGTTGCTTTTCCGAGGAGGGAAGAAAGTCAGTGAACACAATGGAGCCAGAGATCTTGAAACACTGCATAAGTTTGTTTTGCGTCAGGCAAGGGATGAATTGTAAAACACACATGGATACTTCTGCCCTGACTGTTCTTGTACAGTAATGGGGAGAGTTAAATCAAGTTAATGCTATTGATTTTCAAATGGTGGGATTGGTTTTTTGTTGTTTTTGAAAACTGAATGTACTGACTTGTGGTATCTTCCTTGTGTGTGTGTTTTAAAGCCACACTGTACTGACTTTTCCATTGTTTGTTAAGGAAAACTGGTAACAAGTAGTTACTGTGCAAATTGAGTATTTTCAGCATCAGTATTTCTACCTTCCCCTGTTGAGATATAAATGGTTTCCTTTGAGCCTAAAATATTTGAGGAAAATCAAGTTAAGGGACTGGGTAAACTATTTTTGTCTTCAGGTTGAATTTGGGTAAAGGCTTGCTACCAAAGTACAGCTTACAAAGTGTCCACCATTACTAGAAAGGTGCAAGCCACAGCTCTGCTAATAAATGTTACCTTTTTCAACTGAAGCTAAAAACTATGTCTTAATATAGCAGCTGGTCAAGAAATGGGAGGTTGAAAAAGAAAAAACACACCCCTTTGGAAGATACCAGGCACCTACTAGCTGCTTGTTTCCTGTTAATATTTCTTTAGTTATGGGAGGCCCTAGCCACAGTGGTACTTTTACTATGTGCCTGAATATTACTGATGCCATAGCAGATGGGGGATTTTATAACAGTTCATACAAGACATTTCTCTTCAATACGAGAGGAGAGGACGCTATCATAACAACCACTTAATTATTTTCCAAGAGATGTCTACCTCTTTAACACATTTAGGAATAACTGGTTGCAAACAATTTTCTGTACCATATTTCTCTTGCCCCAGTTTTCTGCTAGAACCACTCATCTGACTTAAGCAGCAGGAGCAGATGAACTCATGGTTTATTTAATAAGCAGACTGATACTTCAAAAGTGTTTCTTGTTCCTTAAAATGGAAGCAAAACCCTTCTACAATACCAGTTCAGTTCCTCTCGAGCGCTTCCAAATGTTCCTGTTGCTACCTTTGAATGGGAGGACCATACGCTTCGTTGCCTTGAACGATGACCTGATTGTGTGAGGTGTTCTAATACATTAAAGCCAAAGAATTTACAATGCAGCTACCGTTAGCTTGCTAATGTAGTTGTATCTTTTCTTCTAAGGGGCTAAATTCTGCCCACATTCATGCATCAAAATTCATTGTCATCTCTGGGAATTACATATGTCAACACTTTGCTCTAAGTCAAGCTGTTGTTTTGTGTCCATATGTAATAGTAAAAATTATCTTTACATCAGTAACTTACTCCTTCTGGCAAGGATCACAGGTTCTGTTCAAACTAAAAATGATGTGTAAGCATGGAAAGTGTACAATGAGGACTAAATAGTGTCTAGCAGATGCATTAGATAAAATGTGTATACATCTGCCTTAAAGGAAGCCTTTATTAATGTTTTTTAAAACTGTTGTGAAGCACAATCTCATGAGTAGCAGCCCAAGCGTTGGCTCATGAGTTTCTTGTATAAAATCAAAGTAGTACAATTGTTTACACTGAGACTTTCGAAATAAACTTTTTTTTAAAAAGCCCAGTCTTTCTATAAATGTTACAGCACAAGGATGACAACTGCAATAAATTATAGCTTATATTTACAAGAAGCCTTTTTAAATGCAAGAGTTAGAGGTAAGTGTATTTAATACAAGTTTTAACATTGATCAAAACATTCATTGTTACTATTAATGTTGGGAATAAAACTAGTCTATTAGAAGCTATGGCTAAAATGTGAATATATCCTTTAAACCAACTTCTTAAATGCAATTTCCTTTTTGGCCAGATAGTTTTACATTAACTGCATATCCACTCTCCAGCCCAGGAGCTGCTTCTAAATTTATGTATAAACTTACAGTTGTAGAACTGTCCTGATTGCAGCCTCCTCTGGGGTGGTACAGTTTAGGAGCAAAGAATGTTTTGGACTAAAACAGAACAGGCTTAGTTGATGCATCTTGCAGGAGTTATAGAATCTAAACAAGGTGGGAAGCTGCTCAAGAACAAATTTAGAAATTCACTGCCTAGTTGGAACATTCATCTCAAAACACCAGGTAGGGAGTGGCTTTCTCCTTATGGAACTAATACATGGTGCAGTTAAATATCTAGTCAAGTCTATGGTTCAGCATATGTGTTTGGAGAATGCAGAGGGTCAAAGGCTTGCTTTGGCAAAACTGAAGATGCTCTTTATCAAGTTGGCCTCTGGAAGAAACCACTCATATTGATGTAGCAACTATATTCTTGAAATAGAAGGCACTTCCTAACATAAAATGCATGATAGTAAGGTATTAAAATCATTCATTTCTATATTTTACTACTACAGCTTTGCTTTTTGTCTACAGGAGACACTTTTTCAAGGCTTACATGTAGCAAATGCTGGTTTGGTAAAACTGAATTGCGGACTGACCAACTGACAAGGTCAAGCTCCTCTTTTAAGTTTCTGCTACTCTCAGAGGACTTTAATACCATACAGAGAATGATTGACGCTAACAAAATTTGTCAGGACAGATTTCTTTTTTTGCAAGCCTTGCAGATCAGAAAGACTGCCATGCTGTACATCCATTTTTTTAAAAAATCCAGCACCTGTTCCCATTACAAAGTGAGTGCATGTCAATGAAGATGTATCCTGCTGTTTCCCCTAATAAGGCGCACACATTGTGTTTTGGAAGTCTGCTTCATCTCGACTTTCTCCAAGGTCAGGTAGGTATAATCTAGAAGTTCATGGTAGAATTGCACAGTAGGTCTGGGTGAAGAATGTTTGTGTGTCAGTGACACCCACACGCTCTTACTACCATATTCCTATATTTTTTCAAAATAACGTTGGAGTTATCATCAAAGTAAAGAACGGATATGGCATTTAGTTTTGTAGGTGCACAACAGGGTTTGGGAACGTATTCAGGATTCATAAGATGAACCTGTTTCAAAAAAGAAAACAGTTTGATTGTACCAACTAATCTGATCTCCAACTTCAATTGTAGTTTAGCACAAGTCTTTCTATATACTCACCAAAGTTTGTACAATGGCATGATTGGTGGCATTCATGTGTGCATTGAGTGGGAAAGAGCATTCTCCATCACAGTAGTTTGCTGCATAGCCTTTTGGTGCAATTATCCAATCCTTTGTTAGGAAATAAAAAGAAAATATTTCAGTGGAATTAAAGTTGCCTGTTTGATTTTTGTAACAGATGGCATATAGGGGTAACAGTACACAATTAGGCCTGTTGTCGGGGTTTTGTCAAAATTGTGATAAAGTGTCAGCTTTGCATGGAAAACATTATTTTGATCAAAAACTAAAATTTGGATTGAAAAATGGCACCACAGTGCCTTACACTTTCACTCTTGGGGTTGGGCTCTCTAGCTGGGACTGCATCTCCCATGATATACAAAAGCCAGGGACTCCGATGCTGCACTCCCTGTACTCACCAAAAGGGCTAAAAATGTATCTAGGGAGATTTAGTCCTTCCAGAGAGCATCCATAGAGAATGGGAGCATAGGGCACCCATTAGCCACTGCGGTGCCGTTTTTAATTTAAATTTGTCCATGGAAAACTTCCCACAAGAGTCTGAGTTTTCTTTGAAGTGCTGCACACACAAAAAAAGTTCTCACCACTTCTATAATCTGGTTGAAAATTCTGAGAGCCCTGATACGCTACAGAAGAGAAGGTAATATATTTGGCATTTGAAATGGTAGCATATAATTTGAGTGCTGTAGGAAAAAAACAAAACAAAAAAACCTTATTTTTCTCACCCTTGAAGAAACATGACTGAAGTACAGAAGTACCGCTTCCTACCTATATCCTATTTGCTTAAGATGTTAACATTGTACATTAAGTACACACACCAATGCTATCTTTTGTTCAACATTCTGGAATGCTGCGTTTAAAATGAACGTCATCACCTGTCACCAAATTTTAATGCACATAGTATGACTTTCCTGATGCACGTGTTTAAATTCAAGTTGTGAGATTGTTTCCCCAGCAACCAGCTATTCCAAATCACTGTATCTTCAACTAAAGTAGATATTAATACTTATTTAAAAGGACAGTTACAGGTACTGTGGAAGCTACCTGTTATAAATTTGATTGTTGGGTGCTGAATTGCCAAACATACAATTTGAATTAAACCTTGGGCTCAAGGTTTAGAATAAAAATAGTGATGCTGTCATACGTGTTACCTCTTTGAGTAATTACTTGTAGATGTTAACCACTGGCACATGCTTGATCATCATCTTTTAGACATAGCCATGGGTAGGGCTTGATTAAGGTATATAGCATTAACTCCCATCATCATGTGAAGAAACCAAAAGCTTTCTTTGTGAAAAGCAAGCATCTAGCCCTCATGCTTGTGAAGAGAAACTTAAAAACATGACCTAAGTATAACAGGTGCCGTGGGAGAAGCAGCAGCCTCCATGAGCCAGTGAAGAAGCTACCTGACCTACATTCCCCCATAACTCCAAGTATTCAATCTGGTGGGAGGAGAACGAGCTTGAAGGCCCTGCTGCACTCAGCTCATCTGCCTTCCCTTGCCGCCCTAGGGTCTGCTTCAGCTCCACAGATCAGATTGAAGGGGAAAGGAGTGGGTCTCGTGCCACCCACCCATAATGCTTCATTTACAATGTCACTCTTGGTAACTCTGTTCTTCATATTATAATCCCCCTCCTCAGCTGGTTTCAAGCAGCAGTGAAAGTTAACACTGACCTTTAAAACATCATGGGGTATGGGTTAACAGGACAGTGAGATGAGTTTGGGCAGTTCACACCTCCCAGAGCTACTGTTTCAGGTTGGCTGCAGACTCAGTATATTGGTTACATGCAGGTCCTATGCTGACGGTTTTTTGACAACTTTTCTTTTTTTTTAAAAGGGACTCTGAACAGGATGGCAGCCTCCAGAAGTAGTTCTGGGTTGTGATCCATTTGAATTTAAGCCTTGGCTACATCTTAGTAAATTGGCCAGCTTCCAGGGTGACGCAGTACCGGTTGTAGAACTATGCTGGAATTGTGTGCAAGCTACACAATACCCCCCTTCTGTGCTCCCAGGATGAGTACACTTGTGTATGGGGTCAGAAAGGTTTGAACCGAATTATAGTCTCAAAGATTTTAGCTATCACCAACTAGCCCTTGATTTACATTAATTCTTTATCTCTGTTACAAAAGTGCTCCAAAATTTCAAACAGATGAGAAAAATCTATGAAAAAAATAATTCTTTGAAAGGGTTCCAGTTTGACATTTTGTGGCCCAGGAACAGCCCTGATCACAAAAACTTAGTGGTTTAAAAAACAATTTTAGATCAATCAATTTAGCTAAACCAGTGCAAACCTATTGTGTGAACACACTTTATATCCGGTTTAAACCAAACTGGTAGTTGCACTAGTTTAACTAAAATCAGTTTTTCTATGTGCACACTGGGTCTCAGACTGGATCTACAGGCCTCATTACGATCCTGCTGTCCAGCAGTAGGGCTGCATAATACAATACCATGTGAAATATTAAATATCTTAAGATACACCAAACTCCCTTGGGGATCTATCGATCCCAAAGCTCTCAATATTTGATCTCCCCAATGACTAGTTTTAATGTGGTGGCACAAGGGTCATTTTGAAGCGTGCCAGTAGTGTCTACTGGAATTACCATACCATTGTTTAGATAATATTTCATAATAAGTGTCTAGCTTACTCAGAGAGAAACATCACACACCTGCCATCCCAAATCTTGGAAGCTAACGAAAAGTTCATGCTTTCGGCAAGCTGTTTTTAGGTCACTGCTGTTGTAATCTGTCAGGAGAAAGAAAACAACCCACTTAAAGGTAAAACTTAGGCAATCGTAGCACCATTCTAAAGAGCTACTGGATACATTTTTCCTTGCCCTAAGTGCCGAATTGTGAGAGGTGATGAACACCCTCAACAAATGAGGAGAAGAAATTAACAGAATTGGATTGGGCTTTTCAAAGGAGTGAGGCACTCAACTCTGACTAAATCGGGATCTGGGTGCCTAACTCCTTTAGCCTCAATTGAAAATCTCAGCCGTGTTTCCAAATTCTCTTGACCCTGTGAAACACTTTTGATAAGTATCTGTTCCTACTCGTAAACACAGCACTTGGTAAGCACCTGTTTTGTGCTACCTTCTCATTAGAGCCTCTGGTTAGCAGATATGTTCATGCAGTTTATAGAATGCTTCAAAAAATATTCAAGATCACACAGTAGTTGCATCCATTATGATTTTTATAAGTGTAAATCACAACTTCTAATAGATCAATATTTGCTTTGCATATCCAGGATTGCTAAGCCATGAGACAGCAGTTCTCTGTCTTTGAAGAAATACACTACAGCTAGCAGCAGAGACAAGTTTTCCTCCTCCCCACTGTGTGTCTAAACCCAGTCTTGATAGAGAGCACCTCTTCGACTTAAATGGTTTACTCCCCATCTCACCTTTGGTCTGAAAATAACTGTCCCAGCTATGGGATTCAGCCTACTCCTGAAACCTCACAATGCTCTTGTTCGGTGTCATCTAGGCTGTAAATGACATAGTATTTAAAGAACTTAATATTAAAGTTCTAATTGCTAATATAAATTGCAGCTGCAGAGTGGCTGAGTAGCTGTGACACTGATCTTAGTGGCACAAGCTGTAGAGACACAATTTTGGCTACCTACAGGAGGCTCAAAATGATTCTACAAAATGCAGGTTTTAATTTCCAGTGGAGTTTCACGATTTATATTTTGTAGGACATGCTTTTCAGCATGTGAACGCCTGGAACTGCAGCTCAAAAGAGAATGGAAGAGTCAAGCCCTGACCGAGAGGTCTTTCTCTTCCAGCTTGCCAGCACAAATCCAGCCTTGGTTGGAAGCAACTGAAAACCACCAACCTCTGACGGCTGTTTGGCATCCATACCCCAGAAACCAACTTCACAACTAGAAATCTCAGCAATGACGAAAGCCAGAATGGGCCATGGAAACTGAACTAACCTTTCCATGTAAAGTTGGGACACTTTATGCTGCCCCAGTTACCTGGAGAGACAGAGCACTTCAGGTTCCAGCCCTGCCCAGGCAGCAACATGGCTAACTCATGCATTTATTTTTTAATGAAAATGACACAATACTGAGCTGCTACTGCTTTCTCCTGTGGCTACATGCAGCTTGTTGCCAGGGACAGATAAGGATAAAAAATGCAGTACTATTTTCATTCTCTTACAACAGTAGCACCTAGAGGCCCCAGCACAACAGCCCTGGTCTGAGCTAGCACTGTACGATATTATAAGCTCGTTGGAACAGCCACTAAGCTAGGGCAGGGAAAATTTTCCCCCTTTTACAGATGAGAAACTTGCAAAAAGAAACTGGGGGTAAAATTTTCAAAAGTTACTTAAGTCCTATTAACTTTCAATAAGACTTTTAGATTCCTAACTGCTTAAGTCATTTTTGACAATGGGCCTTACAATAATATCTTCAAAAGCACCTAAGTGACGTGCCCAAGGTCACAGATTCAAACTGTGGCAGACCCAGAATTTGAAACGGCTTCTGAATACCAGTCCACTAACACTGTCTGAAAGGCGAATGCAGCTTTCCATGCACAACAGCTGGGATAGAAAAATATTTTTAGTTACTGTTTCCTTGGCTCTGAAGAAGTTTTAAAAACTACAAGTGCAAATATTTATTCAAAAGAAAAACTAGAATACTAAAGCACATCCTCGTGACATTAAGGCAACATTGCATCACAACTGTGTCCTGTTAATGCTGAGGTCTCAAAAACCCTACACATCAAAACAAACCTAGCCTCCAAACCACCTAGAGTTGTTTTTAGTTGCAGTTTGGGTTTTAACTTCAACGATTATATTTCAGACATTCAATAGTTTCACTTCAATCAAAAATTTAATCAAGTTATTAGAGTCCACTAACTGGCTTCTGTAGAATAAATATACTCGATTTCAGTAACACTTTATAGTGAAGACTGAGGTGGCGTTTCTATACAAGTCTCCTCTTTTCAAATCAGACAGACTCACTAGAAATAATCCATTTATGATGAAGCCTTCCTAGAGCAAACTCCTCATCACAAAATGGTTTTGAGTTAACACATCATAAGCGGGAGGGGGGGAGAGGAGGGACTTTAAGATGATTTTGGTGCTCAGCATTAGTCTTCAATGAGAAATAATAAGCTCCTTGCTTAGGAAAAATTTGCAGGGCTTCTGCTGGTTACAAAAGAGCAGGTGAAGGCAGTCATTTTTGTGACATTTGTGTGTGGAGAGAAATGAAAACATATTCTTGCCTTTTGTCAAAAGTAGAGCGAAGATGGGCCTGAATCAAATGTAAAAAGGTGGAGGTCAGGAAGAGTGAGAGACTGTGAATTAGAACAAAGGCAGAGTTCAGGCAAGAGGAGGGCAGAAGCAAGAAATGCCAAATAAAACAATTTTGATGAAGCACAGGCCATCCTGAATTTTCTCTCTTAGAGGTCGTCACCACATGATGCCTCACTTACTGTTTATAAACCTATGTCACTCTACAATGACCAATAATGCATGTTATCTGATCCATATCCCTGAAACAACAACCCCCTGACTGCAAACACAAATTGTCCCATCTTCCTTCCTTTTCAAAACCTATTTTCTCTTGATCTCTAACAATGGCTTCTATTCCTGAGCCCACTCCCCCCCCCCCCCCCACCTAGTTTCTATTTTAAAATATCAGAACATTTAAGATTTGCTTGGTCTGGGATTCACATTTCCATTTGTTTAACTATCATCCCACCTTCCCCAGCCTTCTTACTTTCTCATCTCCATATTTTACGTTTGTCTTATTTGCAAGGTAAGCACTTCAGGGCAGGGATCATTTGTTTTTTATTCTCTTTAAAACATCAAATAAATGATAATACTACATAAAACTAGGGTGACGAGATGTCCCAATTTTTTAGGGACAGTCCCAATATTTGGGGCTTTGTTTTGTACAGGTGCCTATTACCTTCCACCCCCGTACCACTTTCTCCACACTTGCTCTCTGGTCACCCAACATAAAACTTTTAATAGCTAGCAATTCTCAAATCTATTGTCATTTAATAGTGGCAGTTTAAATGCCACTATTGACGATTTAACTGGGAATTGGACTAGATGACCTTCTGGGGTCCCTTCCAACCCTTATATTCTATGATTCTATAGGCTGGATCAGGGGGTTGGAAGCTCTAGACCTATTGAGCGGGTCCTCTTGATAAGAGTACTGTGGATTGGTCCACCCCTCCTTTCTGGGAGCCCTGTAGCAAAAGCACAAGATGTGGAGTCATCAGATTGGGTTCTACTCCCAGCTATGCCTTAAGTTTGCTGTGTGACCTGGAGCAAATCACTCAACCTCTGTGCCCCAGTTCCCCATCTGTAAACTGAGGATTCCACCACTTACATAATCTTAGCATGTGGGGTGTTGTGAAGCTTGATGAATGGTTTGTAAAGTGCTCTGAGAGTTTATATGGAACACACAATTGAAATACACAGGAGTGATCTACTCCCCTCTTATGCCCCAGAGTCACACTTTACCAATTGCAGGTGAGAAAGACAGGACCTCATAGGGTAGAGAGAGAGCCACAGGTTTGGATAATTTAGGAAACCTTTAGATAAGTATCTACACATTTGGATGGTTTGCTAAACAGGCCTCCATGCCAGAGTCTCGTCAAACCTTAAAACCCACGTAAGTTTGGGGCCCTGCTCTTGCGGGTTCATCTAGGCCCCCTTCGGGTTTAGTGAGTCTGCCCTTGTGGTTTAATAGTTAATGCCAGCTCAGTACTTCCAATGTGCTGTATTTTATCGCTTTGCAAGCTATTCTGTCTCAAACTGAAATTTATGAAGCAATTCGTCATTTAAAAATACCTTCCAAGACAGCACAGTTGAGCAGCAGAGTTGAGGTGGCTTGTTTGCACTGAATGCTCCCTTAGTTCAACCCTAGAGAAGCCAAACACAAAACCAACCTTCTGAGAGCACAGATGTCTCTTTTAAAGCTGGACACTGACATTTTTGTTGTTTAACAAGGAGGGAGTATATAGTCTAACCCTAATGATCTTCCTCCTACAAATACTTATGCACCAATCTTAGATTTCCTATAACTTCTCCCACGTTAAGTGCTGGCAGAGAATATATAAATATTTACTGAGGTTAATCCTTCTAAGAATACTCTGACTGCTCCCAAGGTGCCAGTTCACTGGATTCCACAGGATTATTAATTGCCACTATGCTTCTAAATGGCTTTGACAGAGGTCTCCGGGCCAGCCTCTTTCTCTCAATGTTTGACTTAGGTGATTTGCCTAGATAAAGCTGGTGTAAACTGATCATGCAGTTAATAATAACCACTTAACATGAAAGCCATCTGCTTGGGTGGGATAAGAAAAGATGACAGATTTAAGTACACGCGCACATACACACACACATCAGAAGCAGAGAGGAGGTAGGAGAAGTGCAAGCTGTTCTGACTGTGCAAGGCACTCCAGCTGTAAGGCAGCTTTCTCCATTGCATGGCTCTCTCTCTCACACACAGTCACCTCCAGTCTGACACATGGATGAATGTTATGCTAATGGAAGATTCTGGTGCGAGGCAATCATGTTATTCACAAGATGATACATCTGTGACATCCTGGAAATGTCCGGCCTTATTTGTTGCTTTTATTTAGTGCTGCACTAGGAATTAAGTACAAAATTCAGTTCTCAAACGTGCATGCATTTTTCCTCCCGAAAGTGAAAGGAGCTGTGCGGTTCAGGGGCACTGCAGTGGAAATGTGATCCCTGAGGATCTAATGTTCCCCAGAGGGTACCTATCTCATGGATCCGCATAGCCTCTGTGCCTGAAACAGAGGAATCCCAAAAGGGGTGTCACATGGGTTAAATTCAAGGCAGGAACTATCAGCAATAGCCAGACAAATCTTGGCACACGCAAAATATTTATTCCTCACCCCCCACAATGCATCCTCTCTTCTGCAAAAGAATAGCACTTGGCCCCAAGCGTAGATTGATGGAGGATCTCATGTCAAAGCAAATACACATCCATGTACATTAGGACTTTCTCCGCATAAATTCAGTTCTGCTTTATAGGTCAGTCATAACATGTTTATAATACAGGGGAACTAACATTCCTGGGGGAAAAAAACACACTTTTCTTATTCTGTTTAGGTTCTTATACTATACCCATCACCTGGGTGCCTGAGCACTGGGTACTGAATCCTGAACAACATATGAACATCAGAGAAAGCACGTTAAGGCTCCAATCCTGTATTTGACAGCACAGGGGCAGACTGCTGTGCCTGCATGGAGCCCCACTGATTTCAATAGGGCTCAGTGCCAACACAGCCGTGCACATCATGAACTATCAGTTGCAGGACTGGGGCCTTGAGGAGTCAGAAGCAGGTGACAAAATCATTATGCACTCTGATTGAAACTGACAAGCCCCTTGCTAGTAGTGGGGGTAAGTACAGGAAAAGGTGCAGTCCACTATAAAGACAACAAACCAAACATGTTAAGACTGAGTTGTTGAACGTATCAACTTCACCAGGCCTGACAACTTCTCAGCTTCCTTTTTAAACACAGATCAGAAGTTGCGGTAAGAGGGTGCAGGGAAGCAGAGAAATCAAAGGGGAGAATGAGAAGAGAATCACAAGAGGAAGACAGCAACCCCAAAGACAATACACTACCCTGAAAATGGACAAGAAGGAACAAGCCTAGTAACATGAACTCACCATTACGTCCAGATGTCACAGTGCTTTACAGTGGAGTATCCATAATGCTAGGAGATCTCAGGATAGCAGGAGAGCACAGGATGGAGAGGAAGCCTTGGCTCTGAAATCTCCTGAACTTTGGTCCATTTACACCATAATCTTTTCTTTAAGAATTTAGACCTAATTCAGCAAGGTGCTCAAAACACGTGCCTAACTTTAAGCAGGCGAGTCATTCTAGTGACTTCGGTGGGACTGATCATCTACTTACATCACTAAGGGTATGTCTATACTACGAAATTAGGTCGATATTACAGAAGTAGATTTTTAGAAATCGATTTTATACAGTCATTTGCGTATGTCCACACTAAGTGCATTAAGTCAGTGGGGTGCGTCCTCACTACCATGGCTAGCATTGACTTACGGAGCGGTGGACTGTGGGTAGCTATCCCACAGTTCCCACAGTCTCTGCTGCCCACTGGAATTCTGGGTTAAGCTCCCAATGCCTGATGGGGCAAAAACATTGTTGCAGGTGGTTTTGGGTACATGTCGTCAGTTGCCCCTCCCTCCGTGAAAGCAACGGCAGACAATCATTTCGTGCCTTTTTTCCATGCGGACGCCATACCGCTTTCAGCAGACGGTGTAGTCGGACTGCTAACCATCGTCATCCACTGCTTCCGCTGCAACTCTGCTCTGCTGCTATTGTCTCAATAGCGAATTTCTCCATGTTGTCTGTCATGGGCTCCTGGGTACGTGTGTTCTTCCTCAGGAAATGTGAGAAGTGCTAACCATTGTCCTCCACTGCTTCCGCTGCAACTCTGCTCTCCTGAATCCACCTCACAGGTCCTCTCATCGTTCTCTATAAATATCTATTCTCATGGCAACCATCATCAGCCACTGCTTCCGCTGCAACTCTGCTCTCCTGCAGACGCCATACTACAGCAAGCATGGAGCCCGCTAAGATCTCCGCGGCAGTTATGAGCATTGTAAACACCTCACGCATTGTCCTGCAGTATGTGCAGTACCAGAATCTGCAAAAGCAGGCGAGGAGGTGACGGCAGCGCGGTGATGAGAGTGATGAGGACCTGGACACAGACTTCTCTCAAAGTACGGACCCTGGCAATTTGGCCATCCTGGTGGCAATGGGGCAGGCTCATGCCATGGAACGCCAATTCTGGGCCCGGGAAACAAGCACAGACTGGTGGGACCGCATAGTGTTGCGGGTCTGGGATGATGCCACTGACTGCGAAACTTTCGCATGCACTTTCATGGAACTTTGTGACTTGCTTTCCCCTGCCCTGAAGCGCAAGAATACCAAGATGAGAGCAGCCCTCACAGTTCACAAGCGAGGGGCAATAGCCCTCTGGAAGCTTGCTACGCCAGACAGCTACCAGGTCAGTCAGGAATCAATTTGGAGTGAGCAAATCTACTGTGGGGGCTGCTGTGATGCAAGTAGCCAACGCAATCACTGAGCTGCTGCTATCAAGGGTAGTGACTCTGGGAAACATGCAGGTCATAGTGGATGGCTTTGCTGCAATGGGATTCCCTACCTGTGGTGGGGCGATAGACGGAACGCATATCCCTATCTTGGGACTAGACCACTTTGGCAGTCAGTATATAAACAGAAAGGGGTACTTTTCAAAGGTGCTGCAAGCACTGGTGGATCACAAGGGACGTTTCACCGACATCAATATAGGATGGCTGGGAAAGGTACATGACACTCGCATCTTCAGGAACTCTGGTCTGTTTGAACAGCTGTAGGAAGGGACTTACTTCCCAGACCAGAAAATAACCATTGGGGATGTTGAAATGCCTATAGTTATCCTTGGGCACTCAGCCTGCCTCTTAATGCCATGGCTCATGAAGCCATACACAGGCAGCCTGGACAGTGGTCAGGAGCTGTTCAACTATAGGCTGAGCAAGTGCAGAATGGTGGTAGAATGTGCATTTGGATGTTTAAAAGCACGCTGGTGTACTTTACTGACTAGGTTAGACCTCAGCGAAACCAATATTCCCATTGTTATTGCTGCTTGCTGTGTGCTCCACAATCTCTGTGAGAGTAAGGGGGAGACATTTATGGAGGGGTGGGAGGTTGAGGCAAATCGCCTGGCTGTTGATTACGTGCAGCCAAACACCAGGGAGATTAGAAGAGCACAGCAGGATGCACTGCGCATCAGAGAAGCTTTGAAAACCAGGTTCATGACTGGCCAGGCTACGGTGTGACAGTTCTGTTTGTTTCTCCTTGATGAAAACCCGCCCCCTTGGTTCATTCTACTTCCCTGTAAGCCAAGCACCCTCCCTGCTTCAATCACCACTTGCAGAGGCAATAAAGTCATTGTTGTTTCAAAATCATGCATTCTTTATTAATTCATCACACAAATAGGGGGATAACTGCCAAGGTAGCCTGGGACGGGTCTGGGTGAGGAGGCTATGGAGCTTGGGGAGGAGGATGGGCGGTTACACAGGGGCTGCAGCGGCGGTCTGTGTTCCTGCTGCTTTTCCTGCAGCTCCACCAGATGCCAGAGCATATCAGTTTGATCCCCCAGTAGCCTCAGCATTGCATCCTGCCTCCTCTCATCATGCTGCCACCACCTCTCCTCTTGCTCCCACAACCTCTCATCTTGCCCATCCCTCCTGTCCTCGCGTTCATTTTCTGCTTTCCTGAACTCTGCCATTGTTTGCCTCCATGTATTCTGCTGAGCTCTTTCAGTGTGGGAGGACTGCATGAGCTCAGAGAACATTTCATTGCGAGTGCGTTTTTTTTGCCTTCTTATCTGCACTCGCCTCTGGGACGGAGATGATAGGGGGATCATTGAAACATTTGCAGCTGCGGGAGGAAAAAAAGGGAGAGTAGTATTTAAAAAGACACATTTTAGAGAACAATGGGTAGACTCTTTCACGGTGAACCAAGCTGTTAACATTACATAGCACATGTGCTTTTGGTACAAGGTCACATTTTGCATCTTATATTGTGGGCCTAATGGTTTGGTGTGAGAGATCACACATGCAGGGTCAGGCAACAGAATTCAGCTTGCAGGCAGCCATGGTAAACCACAGTCTTTCGGCTTCTTCAACCTTCATAACATGTGGGAATGATTTCAAACAGCAGTGCCCTCCTTTCCCATATCAAGAACCCATTGGGTTGGCCATTTAAAAGGAGGGGCTGCAGTTTTCAGGTTAACGTGCAGCACAAACCCAGCTAAACCCCCCACCCACCCAATTCTCTGGGATGATCGCTTCACCCTTCCTCCCACCGCATGACTAGTATCAGGGAAGATCCCTGCCAGCCAAACACGAACAAACATGAATGGGCCTCCCCCACCACCACGTGGCTAAAAAAGGGAATGATTTCTTTTCAGCCACAGGCAAACAGCCCAGCAGGAACGGCCATCTCTGAATGTCCCCTTAATATTGTCTCTGGAGGATTTCCACTACATCCCCAGACACGTTAACAGACTTTTCCAGTAGCTGTACTGACCATGAATGCATCCCAAGTATTCAGGGCAAATTAATCATTAAACATGCTTGCTTTTAAACCATGTATTATATTTACAAAGATACACTCACCAGAGGTGTCTTCTCTGGTTTCATGGTCCGGGAACCCGCCTTGGGAGAGTTGGGAGGGTATTGGCTCCAGGGTGATAAACAGTTCCTGGCTGTCGGGGAGAAGGGTTTCTCCACTTGCCTGTTGTGTGCTATCCTCCTCCTCCTCGTCCCCAAAATCCTCATCCCTGTTGCGTGAGACTCCCCCCTTGCAGGTGTTCACGGACAGGGGTGGGGTAGTGGTAGGGGCACCCCCTAGAATTGCATGCAGCCCATCATAGAAGCAGCATGTCTGGGGCTCTGACCCGGAGCGGCCATTTGCCTCTTTAGTTTTTTGGTAGGCTTGCCTGAGCTCCTTAATTTTCATGCGGTACTGCTGCGGGTCCCTGTTATAGCCTCTGTCCATCATGCCCTTGGAGATTTTTTCAAATATTTTGGCATTTCATCTTTTGGAACGGAGTTCTGCCTCCACGGATTCTTCTCCCCATACAGCAATCAGATCCAGTACTTCCCGTTCGGTCCATCCTGGAGCTCTTTTGCGATTCTGGGACTGCATGGTCACTTGTGCTGATGACCGCTGCATGGTCACCTCTCCTGATGAGCTCACCACTCTGGCCAAACAGGAAATGAAATTCAAAAGTTCCTGTGCTTTTCCTGTCTACCTGGCTAGTGCATCTGAGTTGAAAGTGCTGTCCAGAGCAGACACAATGGAGCACTCTAGGATAGCTCCCGGAGGCCAATACTGTTGAATTACATCCGCACTACCCCAAATTCGACTCAGCAATGTCGATTTCAGCGCTAATACCCTTGTCGGGGAGGAGTATAGAAATAGATTTTAAGAGCCCTTTAAGTCGACAAAAATGGCTTCATCATGTGGATGGGTGCAGGTTTAAATCGATCTAACGCTGCAAAATTTGACCTAAACTCGTAGTGTAGACCAGGGCTAAGACTCCTCACCTGCTTAAAGTTAGACATGTAAGTAAGTGTTTGGTGAACCAGAGGCCTTAGTCTGGTGAACTAACTATTCTGTTCTCCTCACAAGCCTAATGAGGTTCAATACTCTTGAAAGCCACTAGAGTTTAACCGGCTAGGATGGTAACCCTCAAAGTTTGATATAGCACCTAGGGTAACAGCCAGGGCTACATTCTCCTTCAATACCCATGGGAATTCTCCCAGTCTCATTGTATGTCAGTACATGAGGAAAGTGCAGAGGCATGATTACAAAGATTTTTTTTTAAAACCATAGCTTTTAAACCTTTCACTATTAATCATGGACCAAACCATAAAGCACTCCCTGTTTAGTCATTAGATTCCATCATTTTAACACAGGCTATTAAATCAACCCTGGATTAGGGACAAATAGACTAACAGTAAAACACAGAGAATGCACCGGCTAATTTCTCTCTTTCTTTCTCAAATAAGCCAACCAACATCTCAGTTTTAATTTTCTCCTTTTTTTAAAAATCCACAAAAGTTCAACATTACCTTGTTGACTAGTAGTGTGCCAAACCCCAGGTTTTAAATTAAAGTTGGCTTTGAGCTAAAGTGCTCAAAAAAGCACTTGAAACCACAAAATGACTAGTTATTTTTTTCCTTTTGTCATTTTATAATCTGAGTGGTTATAGTCAGAAAAGTGATTATGTAAAAACATCCCCCTTTTGCCCAATATATCTGCTCCCTCTGGGGATTTGAATTGTATCTTCTGATTTAAAAGTAGTAAAAGCTTGTTTTTGTCAACCAGCTCTGCAGAGTTAATGGAAGTGAAAGTGGAGTCTTATTCTGCCTCAAATGTCATCAGCACAAAATATCAGCCAATTTCCAATTCTAGAATGAGACTCTGCACTTAACATTTTAAATGTGCTGTACAAACATTAACAGTCTTCACATCATCATTGAGAGGGAATGAAACACCGGGCTCTGTCTGAATATATTAATTATGCACTTTGTGCTAAATGGCTCAGCATACTGCTTTTAAAATCTGTATGAATAAGATGTGCTTACTTATGTTACTGGGAACAAATTGATCACAAGGATAACCTAGTGAACAAGCATGACACATACCTTTGCAAACAGTCACTGAGGAACTAAAGCTGGTCCCAATGGAGCTAAGTCCAATGATTATATCTGTGGGATTGGATGTGGCTTCTTAAAGGGGATACAGCCTTACAGCCCTGCATGGTGTGGAGCTAAAGCATAGCATGCAAACTAGTTATGATTATCAGGGCTGATGAAATACCAATATGTTAATGCATTCTTGAGTGAGTGACCCCAGAGAGAAAATTCTTGGATTCACACACACACACTCCCCCTCCATCCCTCCAGAGCACTAACATCAGATGGGCTGGAGGCAGCTGGCTGAGAACGTTCTCACCTTCTGATATAAAGCTTTCATTGTACCTAATCTGTGTTCCTGTAAGTAAGCTTTCAGTCATGTTAGCTCAGCTTTTCACAGCAATTAGGCTTTGTTTAGGATTTATCTCATTATCTGTATAAACATTGCTTTTATTTAAGTAACTGGAATTGGCAGAGCACATTATTACATAGGGGATGCTTACAGTCTGGGGTGGGTGTGGGTTGCTCTATGAGAAGGAAACTGGCTTTTGACATTAAGGGAGGCAGAAGCATGAGTGCACAGGCAAGGGAATTGCAATGCCCTTCCTCAAACAATGCAGCTGCAAACCTATGGATTCCCCCACAGCCTACAGACGTCCCAATTCTCCTACCAGCCTGCAAAGAAAACACCTAGTCTATGAGGAAATCCCTGTCTGATTGTCTGAAGTGGAAGAATAGGGGAAAGAAGCCAATCAGAGCTCCTGCACATGCTGATGGATAGCCTAATTGTCATTAATAGTAATGATAATGGCTACAACCCTATTGCAGGTCACCTTTTAATAAGGGTGCACATGCTTTTAGGTTTCTAAAAGTTAATGTAGCATGTGGGTTCATCCAAGCAACTGGCCACAAGTTACTGGGCTCAATACAGGGTAACTGGCTAAAATGTAATGGCCTGTGATATTTAGGAGCAGATGAGCTAGTGGCCCCTTCTGGCCTTAAACTCCATTAATCTATGAATTACATTTTAAGCACAAATTCAAAACCCAGTCTAGCTGTTACAGCAGAACAGGGAGTATATGGACATTTCTAAATCACTATCGTGTGTGCATGGTTGTCTCCTAGGATCCCACTGACTGACATTAGTTACGTTTCTATAATATTCACGTTTTTTTATGAAGATAAATGGATCTGCTGTGAGTTTATTTTGGAGTACAGTAAAAAAAAGCTAAGGAGTTTACTGTGAAAGAAGGGGGCAGTATAAGCAAAATAATAAATCTCAGTTGCTCCAGAAATGTTACATTTTGATCAGGGAACAAAAGAGATGCTCAGTAATTTCACCAAAAATATATCCCAAAAAGGAAGGACTTTCAGCTTTATGATACGATGCAGAGCTGGTTGGAAAACAAAAGATATTTCCACAATTTTCATCCAAATTTTAGAATTTTCCAACCAGCTTCAATGAGACAGCAAATGCTTTTCTCTTAAGCCTGTTCTTCAACCATTCCTATGTGGCTTATGACTCATGCCAGTTAAGCGGTAGGCAAGACTGAATGTGTGTTCTATGATGTTCAAGCTAGACTTTTTTTAAAATGAACAAAATACCATTAACTGATGGAAAGATGGGGATATATTGCAAAATTTAAAAAATAAAAAGTCAGCACTGGGGATAAGATGCCTGAGATCAAATTTAAATCTATCAGCTCTGCCTTTGTATCATTGAGCAGCTCTAACAAAAGTTTAAAAGGCACACTCCATCCCTCCATGCGCACCACTCATTTTCACACTGAGAAACCTAGCAGGATGTTGCCTTGAAGTCTAGCCTAATAATGTGATTCTTAGGGTAAAAACTGCACTATGCTACTGTGCTTTTTCTGAATCAAAGAAGAGAAGCCATCACCACTTCTTAGTCAGGCCTGGACTAAAAATGCGCACTACATATAAATGTTAGTGTTTCAGTACTTAGAGATGTTTGTTAAATACCTGATATTTCATACCAGCAGCATACTTCTAGGCAAATGTTACTCTGCAGCAGATCACTGGTCCAAAGGATCTGAGGTGAAATCGTGGCCTCATTGAAATCAATGGCACTAATTTAAACGAGGCCAGGATTTTACCCATGGACTTAGGAAGTCCCTAGTAAAAGCAAATTTTACCAGTACCAGGTTTACCTTGGCGCCATGGTGCCAGGCCCAGGCTGCAAAGGGGCCTCAGCCCAGCCTGCTCTGCTTGGGCTGCAGTAAGGCCCTGCTAGCCGTTCTCAACCCCCAGCCCACTGCTCTCTGCTGCGGGAGCAGAAGCTTGGTCCGGCCGGCTCCTGGGGCTCCTGCTGCAGGGCAGGCTCCGCCTGCACCCACCGGCAGCCAAGCTCCCTCATCCCCGCCTCTTCCCCCAAGTGCGCTGCATTCCCGCCCCTCCCCCTCCTAGCACTTCCTCTGCCGCAAAACAGCTGTTTGCCGGCACGAGGAAAGAGGAGGAGCGGGACTGCAGTGCACCTGGGGGAGGAGGTGGAGAAGAGGTGGGGGCAGGGCCTTGGGGAAGAGGGTAGAATTGGGGCAGGGTGGAGCTAAGGCAGGGCCCCCGCACTCCCCTACACATACCCCCTCCAGCCCCCTGCCGTGAGCTGCTCAGGGCAGGGGCTGGGAGCACCCCCATGACCCCAGCCCACACCCCCAGCCTCCTGCCCTGACTTCTGCACCCCCTTCACACACCCCCATGATCCCAGCCCTGACTCCTGCACCCCCACACATACCCAGCCCCCCCACACTCACACGCTGACTCCTGCATCCCCCCCATAACACCCTCCACACCTTGAGCACCAAAAGGGAGCTCCTGCACCCCCCCACACACACACATTCCCACCTGCACCCCTCACACCAAACAGGAGCTGCCCCAGGTAAGCACTCCACACCCAACCTCCTGCCCCAGTCCTGACCCCCTTCCTGCATCCTAACTCCCGGCCAGACCCTGCACCCCAACCCCCAGCCCTGACTCCTGTACCCCCTCACAGCCCCCCAGCCACCTGACCTCCCTGACTCCTGCACCCTCCTCACACACTCCCAGTCCTGACTCCTAAACCCCCTCACACACTCCCAGCCCCCTGCCCTCTCTGACTCCTGTACCCCCTCACACACACACAGCCCTGACTCCTGTACCCCCTCACAGCCCCCCAGCCACCTGACCTCCCTTACTCCTGCACCCTCCTCACACACTCCCAGTCCTGACTCCTAAACCCCCTCACACACTCCCAGCCCCCTGCCCTCTCTGACTCCTGTACCCCCTCACACACACACAGCCCTGACTCCTGCACCCCCCTCACACACTCCCAGCCCTGACTCCTGTAGCCCCCTCACATGCCCCCAGTCCCCTACCCTCCCTGACTCCTGCACATCCCCACCTGCACCCCCCACACCAAATGGGAGCTGCCCCAGGTAAGCGCTCCTCACCCCAACCTCGTGCCCCAAACCTGAGCCCCCTCCCTTACCCTAACTCCTGGCCAGACCCTGCACCCCAACCTACTCCTGCACCCTAACTCTCTCCCAGACCCTGCACCCCCAGCCCTGAGCCCCCTCCCGCACCCTAAGTCCTGGCCAGACCCTGCACCCCAATGTTTTTTTACATTATTTTTATAAAGCGCTCTTATCCAAAGTGCTTTACAACAGTTCACTAACAGTACAAACAATATTTGGAAAGATCATTAAGTGGTCCGCTGAGACCCCCAGCAATTTTCAAGTGGTCTGTGGAAACATCAGTTAGACTACAAGAACAATCAAGGTACCTCACTTTATTTTCATTTACTTGCTATAACTTATAGGAGGAGGATAAAGAAAAAAAGAATGAAAAACAGGGGCAGGGGAGGAGATAAGAGAGAATGTTCTTTTTCTTGGCTGGGTCCCAAGGAAGGGCCCCAAAAATGAAACTGAGCACAGGCCCCACTAACTCTAAATCCACCATTGGGGCTGACTCCTCCCCCACAGCTCCCCATGCTGCAGCCAGGGGCTGACCCCCCCACTCCCTGAGCTCCGCATGCCACTGCCAGGTCAGGGGCTGACCCCTCCTTCGCCCCAGCTTCCCATACCACTGCCAGGAGCTGGGGCTGACACCCTCCCCACACTGCTGTCAGGGGCTGGGGGTGGCACCTAACCCCCCCAAGCTCAATTCTGGCTGTGGCTAAACCCCCCCAAGCCCTGCTGCCTGACACCTCGCCTCACCACCACCCCCCACCACACATGTTCCTCCACGCCAGGGCGGCGCACCAGATTTTTTTGGTAAACTGGGCATTTGTTCATTTGCTCTTGCCAACTGGTCAGTCGGCAAGAGCAAACGGGATAAATGCTCGTTTTTGTCAAAAAAAGTCAGGATGACCAGGACAGAGCTTAAAAAAACTGTCCCGGCCAAACGGGGATGTATGGTCACCGTGTCTCCAGGCAAGTGGGTCCTGAGGGAGTCCGGCCAGGGCGGGGGCAGACCCTGGCTAATCGTGCCACTCCCGAGAGGCTGGAGTGATTCCCCACCCTGGCACTGGACCGGCCCCTGGCCACACTGCCAGCTCAGCCTGGCAGACGCCGTCACCTTCCAGCAGGGCCAGTGAGTATGGCCAGGGGGCAGAGTGTAAGGGAGTGGATCTCTGGAGGTGTGTGTGTGGGGGGGGCTCTTGGAAGGCAGTGGGGGAGGTCTATGTGTTGGGATGCTGGCTAGTGGGGGGTCTGAGTGGAGTGCTATGTAGTTGTGGTGGTGGACTGTGGGGAAGTGCATTGGGCAGTAGTGGTGCGGCTGTGTGGGGAGGTGCTGGGCAGAGGTGGTGGTGTGCAGACCGCCATGCATTTGTGGTGGAGGGTGTGTGTGTAGGGGCTGCTGGGCATAGCAGTTCCAGGGGATGCTGGGCATAGGGATTTGGGGGTGGGGGGTGGCATGGCATGGGCCCACCCCCGAGGGGAAGGGGCATGCTGACAGCACAGGGCTGGGCAGGCCAATGTGCATCTAGCAACTGACAGTTTGCATACAGTGCCCTTGCTCTGGGCTGGGTGGAGCGGGGCCGACCCTGCCATGCTATGCCACATTGCCCCTGGCTGGCCCCTTGCTCTGGGGACTGACCTCTCTACACCATGCTCCTTTGCTCCCAGGGGGGCCCACAAATATGTTTGGTGCCAGGTTCACAACAGGTTAATCCGGCCCTGAATGTTACATGAACATTCCCCTCTCAGGCCCTTGTAAATGTAGTGTGCTCCTCTGTGCTTATTTTATTTTGTCCATGCTCTTTTTGTGCTTTTTCACATATCAAAGCAAATGAAAGATCTTAGAAGAGAAAAGATGTCTGATCTCCAGAGAAAATAGATGTTGCAAAATTACCTGTAATACTAGATACCCTGGAAACATCTTGAGCCTGAGTGGAGCGGTTTCGATTCTGCTGCCTGCGCCTGCTTGTGGCTGACCTAGTGGTCCGAACATGAACCTCACTCACTTTGAAAAAGGCCACCATGAAAGGCTGCTTGTCATAAGGGCCATTTCGGCCTATCAGGCCTGCTGCTCTAGGGTTTATATTGAGACCTTCAAATGGAACAAAAATAAATAAATAAATAAAAAGGTGGGTTAAAAAAATCAACACAGTCTTGAATAGTTTTTGCTAGCAACACACACACAGCTGCTCTCCCACAAGTAGCATTCCCTTTCCCCTTCTTTTCTGTTCTCTCTCCTCCTTTACCCCCTCCACCATAGACTGTTGTCTTCTTCATGATGTTCTCTAACTTGGACTGTGAGCTCTTCAGAGCAGGGAATTTTTGAATTCTTATAGCATCTCTAATGCTATGTATACACATTGGTATATTACACATATATAATTAAATGCCTAAACCTGTTGCAAAATTAGTGATGCCACTTCTGAGCCACCAAGAATAGAGACATTAGGGAGAAAACCCGGGGAAATTTTGAGGGAAAAGAGGCTGGATATCTTTCCCATAAAGAGCTTAGAGTTGGGGAATAGAGTCATATCAGGAGCTCATACAGATAGGTGGACACTGGCATCCCACATTTCTTTTGGCAAAACAGACACTGGACAGTCTCTGATCTCTTGCTTGAGTTTTATGGAGGAACTCCAAACAGGATGAAGAAAATGGAAAAAAGTGGAAGGCAGACACAATTCCACACCACTCCATGTTGTCCTTCCCTTCTTACATTCTCCTTTGTCTCCTCCTTCCCCATCTTCCATCCTTTTCTTCCACCTTCCCACCACCAACCTCCCTTTTTCCATCTTTCAAAGTTGCCATGGATTGTAAACGTTACTGTTTCTTCTGCAGTTCTCAGTCCCACAGTCTGCAAAGCCATTCTCACACGTGGAATCTGATAAATTGCATCTCAGGGTTAGAGTACGACACTGGGAGACAAACTCATGGGTTTTACCCCCAGTTGTGCTACTGACACTCCATGTCATGCTGGACAAGCTGCATCTGTGCATCAGTTTCTCCGTCTGTAAATTGATTATCATAATACTTCCCTACCCCACAGCACTACTGCAAGGCTTAATTAGGATTTGTAATGTGGATCACAATCCTTCTGCTTTTCATTCATGTTAGTGAAAATTCTGCTGCTGCTTCTTTCTGGAGGCAATGCTTTTATCAGCAACTGATAGACTGAAGGCAGTGGGTGAAACCCTGGCTTCATTGGAGTCAATGGTAGATGTGCTTTACCCTCTGATGTTTTTAGGGACAGCTCAGTAGTAGGAGGGATTCTGGGGTAGCAGAAACAACAATTGCAGCAAATCTAGCATCAGTTTTAAAGCCATTGTACATCTTAAACGTGGACCTCTTTTTAAAAAAAGTTACACTGGAAAATGTTTCCATGAATTGAAAAAATAAAAAAATAAAACTTATTTGGCTGGATTTTCAGAGGCGTGGAGGTCAATGGGAGCATCAGAAATGTAGAGCATCTGCAAGCCAGGCCACTTGTGGCGTTCCTATGAGCTATCCATGACAGGATCTACATATGGAATACATACAACAGGCAGAACGGGGTACTCAAAGTATTTTAGAGAGATACATAGAAGGCCATCAGACAGACAGTAAGTAGCCTTCCATCTGTGCGCTTGAATGCATTGCCTAGTCTATCACATAACAATTGTACACTTGGATACATTACCCAGACCATCACATTAGGGCTGATGCTATAAACAATTAACAAAGACAATCACCTGCCAGATGAATCAACTAAGGTGGTCTGTAACCTACCATCCCTGGTCACCACACTCAGCTGGAGTCCCATGTTATGCTGAGGGTTCATCACCCACATGTTACTGGTGGCAGTGATGTCAAACTCTAGCCAGCCTTCTTCTGAGGCCCACACTGCTCTGGTATCCAGCAAAAACAGATCAGAATCTCTGCAAAAGAAAACAGGAACATGGTCAGGCGGGGGTTCCAGTATTCCCCACGTGCTTCCACTATCACAGTAGTGGGAAGAGTCAAAATTAAAATATTACTCATTTGTTACTTTAATTTCACCATGAAAAGGCATGTGCTTCTGAAAAAATATAGTTCAAAATGTTACAAAAAGTAGCTGTTTTCTAGGCTTGTGGAACCCACACCAGCTACAGAAATGCTAATACTTAGGACTGTATGTTGGTAACTGGATTTTAAGCCTTACCTCAGTGAGGCTTGGGTGTAAATATAGTCTAGAGTGTACAGTGGCCAAAAGTTATTACCATGTCTCTCTGTTTCCTAATATGTATCCCTATTTATGTAAAGGGCTACAATTCTTATGTGTGATGAGCCAATATTGCAACATTAATAGGGGTCTCTGACACCAATCCTATCACTATTTCTTTTGCAAAAACACATTACGATTAATAAGAACCTACGGAAAATGAGAAAACAGGTTACCTGTCCCTTTTCTCCCATCAAAGATTAATTACAGAAAAAGTTTTGTTTGAGTTACATTTTATTTTTGGCCAAATGCTATGTCATATTGCCCAGTAGTTTGGTTTACATGAGATCACACATGGAAAAATAAGTGCGTCAGTATATTAGGGCTCTTAGTGCAGCTCCTTTTTATAGTGGAAAGGCTTTGCTCCTCTCTCAGCTAGTGACCACATTCTGTGGTTGACTCAGCAGCCTTTCCCACAGGAGTCTTTGCATCCTCCCTTCCAATGGGAAAAGTGTTTCAGGGGAAATTCTGTGACCTTCACCTCCAGGAGCAGCAAGTGGTGGGGCTGGTTAGCTGCTGTATGCTTTGGAAAAACTCTCTGATTGCAAGAGTTGGGCTTCACCAGGCATGCTGTGTACCTTGGAGCACCACTACTATTGAGGGATTAACTGCTGAATCAGCCCAGAGTCTTGTAATACAACTTCCAGATTGCTCCCTGGCACCCTCTGAAGTGGGCTACACATGTGCAAGAGGGTCCTCTTAGTCCCTGCACTGTCTTTCCTCTGAACTTCCCTCCTCAATCTGCTTCCTGTAAACCATCTCTGCCCTCTTCCACCCTAACATGCGTCAGCCTGCCTTCCTCTAATCCCCAAACCCTAAATAACTGACACATTACCTCCACCCAAAACAAATGTGTTTGGTCACAAAACTATTCAGAACCATGTATGGAGAAAACCTACACTTTCACAAACACTCATAAAGTATCAAATTAACAAAGAGTATGAACAGATCAAGTTGAAATTCAGGGCCTGATTCGCCACTATCTTGCATTTTAGAAAACCTTTTACATGTGTGTGGAGTGAGTGAAAAGTGGTGTAAAATGCGACCAAATCAAAATTCTCCACTTTACACCAATGCTTGCTTTTTACACCCACTTTGCACAGGTATGAATGGCCACATATGATGAAAAAAACACTAGAAAAATCATGCTTTTCAATTCAACTATTGTTCACAAATAGGTTTACAGACTATTCAATAGACCTGGGTCAATTTTTTAAATTGTGAAAAAAAAATTCCTCTAAAAATTCTCACCATTTTCCAACCAGCACCACTATTCCACCAGCTTTTCTCCTTGGTACAGATTTATGAAGCCAGCTATTGAAGTATTATTCCACAGATGTTATAGGTGACGCTAGCAGAAGCACCTATAGTTAAGGTAGCCTGATACCTACCACTATAAGGCCTGTTTTCAGCTATTGTAACTTTATCAGAATAACTACTTGTGCTGAGATTTTAATTTTCAGGAAAACAAAAATGGCTTAGCTGTTTCCAGGAACAAAATTAGGAGACAATGTTTTCCTCACATTAAAAAAATGTTTGCAGTCATTTCATAGAGAAGCCCTAGCACTCCCTGTTTTGGAGCAAGGGATTTGACAGAGGCCTGCTATAAGTAGGGATGTGCCTTTTGCTATCCCAGTGAAAATTTACCAAAATTTGTTCATGCTCAGTAAAGACTCAGAGTTCAGCAGCTAAATTCTCTGAAGATTCCATCTGCACCGAGAATGCTCCATCCCCACATAACTCCTACATGGCAATCTGACCGTTTGTATGCCATCCCCGCAGAGCAACAGAGCATGCACCATCATATGGTTACATGGCAGAGCGGAACTTTCCCTGCAATTGCTCCTCCTGCCAGCTGAAGGCCACTGCAGCTCCAGGTCCCAAAACTACAAGCAGCCTCGCCTGTGCTTTCAGGCTCCCCTGCTGGCATTCAGGCAGCATGGAGAAGAAAGTCTAAGTGAAATGCAGAAGGGTGAGGAGTGAGACAGACTGAGAAAGGGACAAGCTGGAGTGGTCAGGCTTGGGAAGGATGGGAACAGAAAGGGGTTTGTAACCACTACAGCACACTCCCCTCCAGAAACCAGTATTAAGCCCAGGATTCCCAAGTCTCAACATTCCTCTGCTGTCTGAAAATATCCGTGAAACCCACTGGCACAATATGCATCTGTCTCATCCTCCTCCTGTGGTCACAGACCCCCGCAGAGGATAATAACCTACTACTATTACCAATTATTCTGTTAGCTCAAATGGCAGAGGTCTGTGTTGCAATTCTAAAGGTTCTAACCCTACTGATAGCTCGTGGGGTGAGGCGGGATAAATATGGTTCTCCATGAGTAATTTTCTAAATTTTTGCAAAAGCAAACTGAAAAACTTCACCAATGTTAAGATCATACAATCAAGCACTTGAAACTTAAGAAATGACAAAAATAAGGTTGGCTGCGCAGTCTTAATGTTGTCCCCATCTGTGTATGCATGATGATTGCTCAGGAATTAATCAGGGTTGTGTAGCTAACAAGGCTGTTGCCCGTAAACTCCCTGCCTCATTTACTGAAGAAGTTGGAAGGTGTGCAGTGAATGAGGCAAGGGATTGCAGGAAGAGAAAGGAAGCTCTGATGGTTAAGGCAGCTGAAAGCTGCCCTGGGGAACAGGATTCTATCCCTACCTCTGCCTCAGAATAGTCACTGAAGCCAAATTTTTCACAGGTGGTCACTAAATATGTTTTCCTCATTTCTTGGGTGCCCAACTTGAAACACCTGTGGCCAGATTTGTGGAAGAGCTGAAAACTCACAGCTGCATTAGAAATCAATTGAGCCCAGTTCTGAACCTATGAAGTGCTGTAAAATTCTAAATATTCAGAAAAGTTAGGTCCTTAACCATCTCGAATTGGGCACCCAAAATTAGTGGACATGTTTTACTTTAATCTGTCTGTGCCTCAGTTCCTCAATTGTAAAATGGGGGTAGCGAAGATTGATTAAGGTTTGTGAAACACTCAGATTCTATGGTGTTCCTCATGATAAAAAAAGCCCATGAGAAATATTAATTCAGTCTTCAGAGCAGGGTTGAATAGTGTGCCATGAGTAAGGCCTGGCGCCACACATTGAACAGTGAGGATAAACAAAATATTTACTAGCTAGCCTTCAGTGAGCACCATTCATCCTGTGCAGTGAATGAGGTAGGGGTCCTGTGGAAAAAAATAGTTTGTGACTATATTATTAAAAACGGTATCATACTTTTTTCATATAGGAGCAGCAGAAAGGTAGGAATGGATAAGGGACATGGACCAGGTAGAGAAGACTGGAGGGGAGCGAAAGAGAAAGAATGTTCGTGGAAGAGTCAGAAATGGGGTGGTCTGAGCAAGCTACCTAGGACCTGACAGGAAAGAATGTCTACAGCATAGACTCAAGACAGACAGAATCTGATGCTATCACTGATTTACGCACAAACTTCTCTTCATTTCAAGGATACTACGTAGCCTCCTACATATGTAGAGAAGAGAGGACTTTTGCATTCAGTATATAGAAGTGAAGTTCCAACACCATAATGAACCATTGCTTAACACTTAGTTAAACTGTCCCTGGCATTTTATATCCACAGACAGTTCTCTTTTTCTGCATTTACACTGTGCTCATCATCACTGTGATATCTGAGAACCTAATCAAGATTTTAATCATACTTAATACTCAAACTCCTGCAAGTAGTTAATTCAGTAATGTTTGTGCAGCACATTAAACACTGTATAAGTGATAGGTTTGTATTATTATGGGGAAGTAAATAAATGGGGGGAACTGAGGTAGTGAAGTGAAGTGATTTTTTCCCAAGACTACATACAAGCCGACTGGAGAGATGAGAGTCAGGAATTCCTCACTCAGTTAGGAGCTCGTTCCTCTAGACCTCATTTTATGGGTCTGACTCAAAACCCACTGAAGTAAATGGGAGTGTTTCCATAGCCTCCAACTGACTTTGGATAAGGCCCTGAAATCAAAGGTCAAGACAACAATTGCAAGTGGCTGAAAGAATCTCACAGTCTAAGGGAGAAGTATGATTTGTCTGTGTGAATCATAAATTCTGCCCTAACTCCAGTACTCTGGAAAAGGATCCATTTATAAATATCCAGATATAAATATCAACTATAGCTACTATTCTTAACACCAGCATCCTGGCCATGTAGTCAGGGCATTTATGGGAGGAATAGTTTGCATCTAATTATGGTGTTTTCCCCTGTAATTAAATATTTCTTTAGCTAAAATCTCAATAAACCTTTCAACAAAATGTCTGTGGGTGTTAATTCATTTTAATTATTTAACTAAACACTAATTAGCTTATATTTTAGTCAAGTGGTTAATTTTTGTTACTATAATTAGTGAAATCGCCAGATTACAATAATTTCTCTCTGTCCTGAGTACACATTATAACATGGAATTTTGCCACAGGAAAAACACCAGTGCTATAAAAAGCTAAATTTTACAACATATATATTGGAAAAAGGTTTTCTATTTTCCCAACAGTCTTCTTTCTCCCTCTACCCCCTCCCCCAAACTAGGCAGAAGTTTTCCCAAGAAAGCAGTGAGAATAAACAGAGCTCTCACTTTCAAACGACTAAGTTAACGGCCTCTTATTTTAATTACGGATGAGGAACAACATTTTTGGCTCAGCTTCAAAGCTCCCAATTACCCAGGT